GTGTGTGTTTGTGTGTGTGTGTGTGTGTGTGTGTGTGTGTGTGTGTCTGTGTGTGTGTGTGTTTAGTCTCGCCATGAGGTTCGGGTTGAAAAAGATCTTGATTTACAATTTTTTTCTTCTTCTTCCCTGAGAGGAATCGGTGATGTGCTTGACTGCCATTGATCGAGATATTTAGATTGTGAATCGAATTAGAGTGATTGGAAATGTCGACAAAGGAAGAACGGAAATGCAAGGGAGTTAGAGTGCGAATTATATTGATTGTTATTCACGGATATTTTCCTCGCTTTGTGACTCGCCACACCTGTCCTCTTTCAAAAAAAAAAAAAAAAAAAAAAATCCGAAGGCAAATAGCGAATGAATTGTGTTAGTTAAAAATATATATATTTATGATATATAAATTTGATATATATTTATGATATAGATTTATGATATAAATGTCCTGTCAAGTGAAAGAGGCAAGTTGACAGGTTGGTGATTATAATTGAAATGCATCGATGATATTTGGACATACAGCATTCACTTCGATGAAATTAGATTAATGAATGAATATATAAATAAATAAATAAGTAAATAAGTGAACAAATAAATAAATAGATAATAAAATAAATAAGTACATGAATAAACAAAGAGGTGAATGACTAAATAGATAAATAGATAAATAGATGGATAAATAATTAAATAGATATACAAGTAACACAGAACCAGATCACATAACTCCAGTATCACCATCACCCACCCATATATCTCATTTTTTTCTTCTTCTTTCCCTCTCTCTCCTCCCCAGCCAAGAGTTACGAGTGCCTGGGAGACTGGGAAGGCACCGACGGGCAGCGCTACTTGGCACTCCATGACCCGACCGCCCTCGCTGCCGCCGACTCTGACCCTCCCCCGCCCCGATTCCGCTGCGCTGTGAGTACCTATTCTGTTTTTTCTTCTTTTTCTTTCTTTCTTTCTTTTTTTCTTTTTTCTTTTTCAACTTATTCTGAGTTTTTTTTTTTTTTTTTTTTTTTTTTTTTTTTGAGGATGGGGTAAATTGTGTTGATATGGGTGGCTGGGTTTGATTGGTATTGACTGATACTATATTTTTTTGTGTGTGTGTGCGTGTGTTTGTGTATGTTATTGTTATTATTATCGTTATCGTCGTCGTCGTAGTCATCACCATCCTCATCTTCACCTCCATCATCATCATCATCATCATCATCATCATCATCATCATCATCACCATTTTTTCCATTACTTCGTGAAACCCACCACAGTATATAATTCATCTAGTCAAAACTTTGTTATTGTCCTAAGTAATCCTTTTCATTTTTATTAAATCTATTGCGTTCACCTTAAATTCGGCGTAACAGTGATAATAATATCTTATATATTACTATATACTGTATATCATCTATTATATCATATATTATTAAATACTATGTCATATAATAAAACATATATATAAGCAATGTTAATATACTTAAATACTTTAATAAAACAACAATAAAAACAACATAATACGTACCTAAAATAAACTGAAATACTAACAAATACAGGTTCGGGTGTTCGAAACCCAATGAACCTTGACTCGAGGAAACCGCTCGGGAAACACACCTGGCGCTACCGTCTTCGGCTTTAATTGGATTTACTCTTGGAGAGAATGTAGGCTATAGTGTAGCCTAAAACCTTTTATATAAAAGGCGGAGGAAAAAGGGATTAACTGTTGGGCGTAATTTGGGATTTGTGTTGTTATATCTCTTAACTCTGAAAGAAAGTTAGATTTACAGTTTGATCAGTGGAAGAATACTTGTTAATTTCCCCTTTTTTCTGCTAGGAATTGTTATATTTCTAACCCGAATAAAAGCTTGATTATTAAACGTATACTTTGTGAACTTAGTTTCGTAAACAAAAAACAAAAAAATCGTTGCTATAAATCTACCCCCCCCCCAAAAAAAAAATAATAATAATAAAAAAAAAAAAATACATAGCTTCCTTTCAAAACAATAATACTCACTAATAGCCTTTTTATTTTCGCAAAATAAGTGATTTTGGTGTAGAATTTTTGGGAAAAGATTACCTTTGTGGATTTAAAGAGGATCATATAACGTTTCGAGTTGATTGAGTAACAAATGTGTTGGTTTTGAGCTAACAGAAGACGTAAATTTAGAACCACGATTTTGCTTGTGTCTATAGAAACCAGGAGATTGCAGAGTTGAATCTTTAGGCGGCAGGTATTGTTGTTTACTATTATCATCATTTGTGTCTAAGCCTTTGTCGTATTTATCTAATTTGTATTTTTTCGTTTAATTCATATTTTTTTAGTATTTATTGATCTTAAAGAAAAATATTGATAGTTTAAAGTCGGAAGATTTTTTTACAGTGTCTCAAAAGCAAAACTTTTTTTTTAATAACTTCAAATATAAATTGTTTTTTTTAGTAGCATATTTAACCATTCTATTCGGGTACTTCTTTAACAATCTTTCCGTCTACCCAATTTTTATCTATCCTAATCTCAGTTTCAATTTCTATCCCATTATCCGCTTTTCTTATCTTTTACTGTCGTTTCATCCACACTCGCAAAAAAAGGGAAAAAAGGAAAATGCAGTTCCTTCCCCCCGCATTACGAAGGTCTCGGAGCCCAGCTGATCCGAAGACGAATAATCCCTCGTAAAGAAAGAAAAAAAAAAAAGAAACGCAAAAAACAACAGCAATGTCTCGTCCATTAATCGCAGACACACAAAACACAAACCGTGATTAAAAGCCCGGACCGAAATCCTGCTTCGTGATCCATCTAACTTTTTTTTTTTTGTTTAAGGATCCTTTTGCTACTGATTACCAAGGGGATTTCCAACCTTAAGTGCGAGCTCGTGGTTGCGACGTCGTTCTTGCCTCCCCGAGCTGCATATGTTCCCCTCGCTGCTCTTAGCCATTCCCACCAAAAAGCATTTCCTGTCTTCTTCCTCGGTTCGGATGTTCGAACTCACTCGCCCACTCGTCCTCCGCTCTTCGTCCTCCTTCCTTCCTTCCCTTTATCTTTCTCCTCTTCTTCCTCGCTTCGGATGTTCGAACTCACTCGCCCACTCGTCCTCCGCTCTTCGTCCTCCTTCCTTCCTTCCTTCCATCCCTTTATCTTTCTCCTCTTCTTCCTCGCTTCGGATGTTCGAACTCACTCGCCCACTCGTCCTCCACTCTTCGTCCTCCTTCCTCCCTTCCTTCCTTTCCTTTATCTTCCCCCTCTTTGTTCCGTTTAGCTAACGATTCGTCTCGTCCATTTACTCGACTCCCGTTCCTCAAGAACCGAATGAGGAACAAGCAAATTAGGATTGTTTTTTTTATCTCCCGATGTGATTCAAAGAGTGCGACAGAATTGGCAAAGGTCCGGAGCGTCGAAGTCGAAGACCCAGTCGCCCAGAATCGGACAAGTGGTTCACACGGAGGTTCCACTCAATGAGTTTCCGCGCGTGATGCTGTGTGGGCTGTCGGCAAGAAACGGCGCTCAGGGCTCGTTTCCTGTCTTTTTTCCCGCTTCTGGGTAATGTCAGTTTAAAGTGCCGGGGAAAAAAGGACATTTTTGTAAGTCTTTACGAAGAAGAGGTGGTGGGAGGAGGGGGGGTTGAGAGGACCTGTGTAAACACGTCAGTCCTCGCAAGGGGCCAGCACGAGTGATGTATATATTTATATACATACATACATATATATACACACACTTATATCCATGTGTGTGTGTGTGTGTATGTGTGTGTGTGTGTGTGTGTGTGTGTGTGTGTGTGTGTGTGTGTGTGTGTGTGTGTGTGTGTGTGTGTGTGTGTGTGTGTGTGTGTGTGTCTCACCTACATACCTAACTATCAACCACTCCACATACGTATATACATACAAGTACAGATAGGCAGACAAATCCAAACTTTTTTACGCTTCGTACTTTCAGCCTTTCCCATTCCTCCTTCCTTCCTTCCATCTATCCTCCTTTCCATCCTTCTATCCTTCCTTCCTCTCTCTACATCTTCCGCCCTTCCTTCCTTCCACCCTTCCATCCTTCCCTTCTTCCTTCCTTCCATCCTCTCTCTACATCTTCCTTCCTTCCTTCCTTCCTTCCTTCTATCCTTCCCTCCCGCCTTCCTTCCTTCCTTCCTCTCTCTACATCTTCCACCCTTCCTTCCTTCCATCCTTCCTCTCTATACACCCTCCACCCTTCCTTCCTTTCACCCTTCCTTCCTTTCTTCCATCCATCCACCCTTCCTTCCTTCCCTCCTTCCGTCCTTCGTTCCTTCCCTCCTTCCTTCCCTCCTTCCTTCCTTCCTTCCACCCTCTTTCAACATCTCCCAAGACTTCCTTACGACACGCCGAGCTCCTACCGGGCAACCGCAGCGTCCCCATCAGTTAAAGCAGGGTTAGTGTAGGACCGAAACCACATCCCATGGCTAATGCACTCCTCGTGGTCAGTGCAGCGGGGCGAGCTTTGCCGTAAGGGCCAGATTAGCGTGCCACAGGAAGTCTCGTAGAAATTGTCGTAGGAACTGGTATAGGAATTTTTTTATAGGAATTGTCATAGGGATTGTTGTTGGGTTTGTCGTGAGATCTGTCATAGGAACTGGTAGAGGAATTGTCATAGAAACTGGTGTAGGGATTGTCATGAGAACTGTCATAGGAGCTGGTGTAGGAATTGTCATAGGAACTGTCGCAGTCACTGACATAGAAACTGCAATAGACCCTGTCATAGGAATGTTAAAGTCACTTATAGTCATTGTGTAATCACTGTAATACTCACTGTTCATAGCCACCGTCTGGCATAAGGATATATGAACTGTCATAGCTGTTGGTCACTATCAGGGATATCGTATTAACTATTGTCACTGTCAGAAGAATTGTCATAGCAGTTGGCCACTGTCATAACAGTCGCCATATATATTATCACTGCCATAGAAGTTGTCATAGCTATTGTCATTGTCACAAGCGTAGTAGTAAAAATAATCACCGCCATAGTTACTGAAATAATCATTGTCATATACACAGTCATTTCCGCAATCATAATTATCATAATAATTGTCAGAATAATAGACAGAATGATATCCATAGTCATCTCCATTGTCACATAGTCATCCCTTAATCTTGCACGTAGTCGGGGAAATAATAGTCACCGCCATAGCCATCGACGGTGGCGCGGTAAACATAAGAAGACACTGGCTAAAGGAGCGCCGTGACTATTATTTCCTTGCGGTGTTTTTATTCCGCTGGTAAAAGACGAAAGTTATTTACGAGAGTTGTTATGTCTGTGTGTTTTGTCGAGTGAATTTAGTTTGAAATGAGAGATGTGAGGGTCGCATAAATTGAAGCTTAAAAGAACAGTGTAAGTGTGTGTATATGTGTGTGCGTGCGTGCGTGTGTGTGCGTGTGTGTGTGTGTGTGTGTGTGTGTGTGTGTGTGTGTGTGTGTGTGTGTGTGTGTGTGTGTGTGTGTGTGTGTGTGTGTGTGTGTGTGTGTGTGTGTGATTATGAGTGCAAGTAGATGTATTTATAGGTGGGATTGTGAGGATGTGTGTGTGTGTGTTAACATGCATGTATGTACTTTCATTCTTTCTCTTTCTTGGTGTGTATTGCACAGAGTAACAATCAGACCGCTATTCATGTTAATATTCGTTCGTAGCAAAAACCTGCCCTTTTTAACATTTTTATTTTCCTTCTTATGCTGTTTCTTTCAATTCCAAAAATTGCTCCAAAGCGCTTTCATCATCGCTATTATCTTACCCCCCCCCCCTATCCCACGTCCCTCCCCCTCTCCATCTCCCCTTCTCTCTTCAGTTCTCCTCTCCCTCCCCTTCAGTTCCCCTCTCTATCCCCTTCCCATCCTTTCCCCTCCCCCTCTCCCCCTTTCAATCTCTCTTATCCCCCTCTTTCCTTTCTCCCTTGTCTTCCCTTTCTTCAACCCTCTCC